CCTCAAAGGTCAAGATGTGGAGATTCCTTGGTTACGTATAAGGGAAATGCTTGGGCCACGAATTGTGAGGCTCCCATGCCTCGACGTTTTTTTTAGATGAAAATTATAATTTTTTAGATGAAAATTATGAATGTTTGTAGTATATATTATGCTATTTTGTAGTAAAGTTATAAATATTAAATTTATGGTGTGCACTTTAAAATTGTGAATATTCAAAATAATTGTGATTTGTACATGAAATTTTTAAAATATTTTTTTAAGGGCCGACCCTGGGGCATAGGCTACATGGTCTAGGGCCCTTCAAAATAGAGTAAAAAAAGAGGCCCCTCCTAATATAATTTAGTGTAATATATTAGATATGTTTTAAGTCTAAAAGAATTAAAAAAGACCAAAACTAACTTAAAATAAATTGACCCATTAAAAAATTGCAAGGCCATTCAAAAAAATTAGTATTGCTATCCATTGAAAATAGACCTAAAAAAGGGTCTCTCTTATTATAATTTAGTCTAATATATTAAGGCCTCGTTTGGAAACCCTCTCATTTAGCCAAAAAGTTACTAAAAAAGTCAAAAAACCAACAACCCATACCAAAAAGTCAAAAATTCTTTTTTCTCTCTACTTTTTGCACATCTTTTCGTAAAGAGTCAAAAAATCATCCCAAACATACTAGTTTTTTTTAGCTCATATTTTAGTCAAATAGTCAAAAAGTTACTAAATTAACATGTTCCCAAACGAGGCCTAAGTATATTTTAAGTCCAAAAAAAAAAAAATTAAGGAATGCCCAAATTAACTTAAATTAAATTAATCCATTAAAAAATTGAAAGGCTCATTTAAAATAATTAGCATTGTTATTCATTGAAAATGATTTTGTAAAAAAATTAGATTATGCAAATATGCTTGATTTATTTGCTTCTAAAAATAAGAGTGAGAATCAAGCGATACTTATTAGTTATTGTAATGTAATGCTAAGTATTTTTTGTGATTTTGACACAAATCTTTTGTTCTTTACTTTCAATTTTTTTTTTCATTCAATGAAAAAAAAAAATATGAAGGACCCTAGAAATTTATTAATTAATTATCGATTTTGGGCACCAAAAATCTCAGAACCGGGCCTGGTTTTTTAAAAATATATAGTGTTGTTGATATTTCTTAATACACGTCTTGGCCTTGAAAGATAATATGGAGTTGATGTTAAGATTTGAATAAATATATGTAAGATTTTTTATTTTTCGTTTATTTGAAGCACACGTTCATATATAAAACAGACATTAACTCATACTAGAAAGTCCAACTCAGTTGATAATTTAGGCTAATAATAGAAGAATTTGCTATGGATTATTTTAGAGACACTAACAAATTTTGAAATAGTTATACATTTTTTAAATATAAATATGTGTTGTAAAATCTGTACAATTATTTTAAATTTTATTAACTAATACCAATACATTTGTCAACAATACTCTATAATAAAAAAATGAAGAAATTACAATTCAATGTATTTTTTTGAAAATTATTTCAGATAAGTGATAAATTTTATGAATATTAATATTTAAAATTATAAACTTTCCATTTAATCCGTAATTATTTTGTTAAACAGTCATTGAATTGTAATTCTCCCTAAAAAAATTGATAAAACTATTGAAAGATACTTATTCCACTATTAAACCTAAATTAATGTCAAGGCTACAATGAAGATAAATTAATTATTTCCATGCATTACTTGAAAAAATTGATAAAACATCTATTTATATATAACAATTTTTTTTTTGAAACTATTGAAAGCTACACTTATCCCACTATTTAACCTAAATTAATCTCAAGGCCACATTGAGGATTACTACTGACTTCAATTATTTCCATGCATTAGTTGAACATGAAAACTTGATTCTTCACGTCTGATATCATTTAAAAGTTGACTTTGATAATTATTATTTTTTTAGATTATTAACTTTAAAATTTAAAACAAATTGTAAATCTATTTGGTAAATTGTGAAAATGATGAACCCGATATCACATAGTTTTCTTTGTAATTTAAATATTTAGGATATCCTAAAAAGTTGTGACTCGTGAGAATTTCAAGTTTAGTACTTGATTATCTTTGAGAGATATACTGACTTGATCGTCGGAGTGCCCCCGGGTGGTCGAAACCACCGCGGGATTCTTGTATTTCTGTTACAGGTCAGTCAGGGGCCATCTATTCTGCCAGTGCTCTCCAGCTGGTTACTAAGCGGGCAGTGTGGTCGGAAAATCACCCACACATTAACTTTAAAATTTAAAACAAATTGTAAATCTATTTGGTAAATTGTGAAAATGATGAACCCGATATCACATAGTTTTCTTTGTAATTTAAATATTTAGGATATCCTAAAAAGTTGTGACTCGTTAGAATCTCAAATTTTTGATTAAGTTAAAAAGATTAAAAAATTATAATTTAAAATCATAACTAAATACTATTTAATAAAAAAATTTAATTAAATAAGTTTTTCTTTTGGGTAGGTAATTAATTAAATACCTTAACTTATAAATTGATATGGCCATTATATTGGTGACACTTTGTGGTCGAAATCATTGAAACATGAAAAGTAATGATAGAAATCATAAAAAAAAAATATCATGAAAATAATTATAAAAAATTCTTCATTTTTGAATTACACATATAATAAAATATCACACTCTAATTAAAAGATGATAAATTTTCATGATGCATATCATGATATTTTTTGACCGGGTAAATTACAAATACACCTCCTAAAATTTGATTAAAATACAAATCACTCCTTGTAGTTTTGAAAATTACAGTCCACCCCCTGAGGTTTCTAATTTCATAACAAATCGTGACTTTTATTAATAAATCATCAAATCAATTAACAGTTTTTAATGATATTAGAAATATATTTCAATTAACAATTTAGGTAATTTTATTATTGTATAGAAAAACAATTATGAATTTTATTTTTTTAGTTAATTCTGTTAAATAAAAAAAATTAATAATGAGGTATTTATAATTTTCTAAATTATAAAAAATAATTTATATTTTAAACAAAACTCAAAAAGTGTATTTGTAATTTATTTTTTTTACCTTATGGAACATCAACTTCTCAATTAATTGAATTGACTTGGACGGCAGCATCAACTTCCAATTAATTGACAAAAAAAAAAAAAACCATCCAATTAATTGAATTGACATTTGGCCTACTACAACTTGTACATTTCCTTTCTGTTATTAGGTTGGACAATGACTTGTGTGCTCGATTCTCCATTAAACATTACTATTTACTACTATGCTTTAATAAATCAATGGCCTCGTGTGTAGAGTGATTATTTTAGTAGGTTATTTGATTTTTTGATTATTTTAGTAGGTTATTTTAGTTTTATGTTTGGAAAGATGAGATGAATTTTTTGTTAAGTTCTTGTATTGAAAAGTGTGTTGAAATGATATTTAAATTTAAAATGACAAATTTGTCTCTAACTTTTTATTTTTTAAATTGATATAAAGGGGTAAAATGGTAATTTTGCCGTTGATGTACCAATTTCCGGCTGTGACAGCCTACACTGTCCAGCACAGAGCCTATTTTTTTTTTTTTGAAAAACTGTGAACAATGTCACTTTTTTGCTTATTTCTCATTTTAGGCTATATTAGCCTCACCCACCTATTCCAAACGACGCCAATGTTCACAACTTGAAAATATATGTTTAATACCGTTTTAAGAAAAAAGAAAAAATATATATAAAAAAAACTCAACTAAAAGAATGTGGTTATAGTATTTTTTTTTCCAAATTTAAAAAATATAAAAGCTTCACTAAAATAAAATAATGTGGCTCTAATATTTTTTCCATTGAAAGAAATCTAAAAGGTCCACTAAAATACAATAATGTGGGTGAGGCTAGAGTATTAGAATAAAGATTGGGACCCCCTTTTCCCCACTCCCTTTTGACTCCCTTTCTTTTTTGATTGGTTACTTTTTCTTTTTCTTTTTTTTCTCCTCCTCTAATCACCACCCGTCACGTGTGTGTGGGGGTGGTGGGGGTTGAAGTTTGAGGGGGTCTAAATCACTGTTGAGAGTATTAATTTTGGTACTCTAATGAATCACTAGAGTACAATAATTAGTGATTCATTAGAGTACTAAAATTAATACTCTGAATCATTGCTGTTTTACAAATGAGGGGGAATCTTTTGGAATGCAAGTTTTTAGTGTATTTTTTTACACACTAAAAATTTCACCTCACCTATTTTTAAATAATTTTAATCAAATAAGCTGAATTAATTCATCTTATTTAAAAGAAAACACAAACACGTCATTTAAAAAAAAAAAAAATTAAAAATCACAATTTAAATTTCAGAATAATATAATAAAAAATTAAATATTATATAACTGAGTTTTTAATAAATTAAAAATTTGACACATAATACACTGGATCATATTAAATTTAAAAAATGGGCAATTACATGCCAGTAGAAGTTTCAAAAAATAATTATATATTTATACAAAAAATTAAAATTAAAATTAAAATTTTAATTATTAATATTATTTTTAAAAAATAGTAATTTAATATTTCTCCATAGCACAACCTTTTAGAAGTATTAAACAATGGGTCTGGCTTCCTCAGTCTACAGACGAGATGGTGCCGTTGGGCCCATGAAGGTCAATCATGAGTCTTATTTTGATAATTTGAATCGTTAATATGTAGAATTTATTGAGTATTAAAGTGTTACTAAAAATTGCATTGATGATATTGATAGTTACGTGATCAAATCAGTTTTGTATAAAAAAATGAACGGTAAAAAAATAAACAGTTAGTAAAAATTTGACCCGATAAAATAGTTATCGATATCCGATCAAAATAATTTTTTACAGACATATAATACTCAACAAATACTACAAATTGAACGGTTCAAATTATTAAAACGAAATCCATAATAGATTTTCACAGATCTAACGGCACCCTCCAATCCAGGGAGGGAAGCCAATCCTTAAAAAGAATATCCATAAAGCAAGCATAATATTGTGTAGTGTGCTTATATCCACGTCCCATAAAAAAGGCCCCAAAGTTGAGCATTTCATTGGTTGAGATCTCAAGAAACTCAAACAACATCTCTCCACCTCCACCACCATCACTACCACCCAAAACAATACACATCACCTCTTCATAATCATTCATATGAATGGGCAATGAAAAACTACTCCAATCTTCAAACCCAACCAGAACATTCAACCCCACAAAACCCACAAACAAAACAACAAAAAAACCAAGAACAACAAGAAGAAAGAGGAGAAGAGAGAGCCAGGTGTGAATGGAACTTCACTCTCTCCACCATCATTTCATCATCCACCGCCACCGGAGCTGCCTCCGACACCCTCGGAGTAATCGAATTCGACCCGTCCGATACCCTCTTGGCTACAGGAGGGATTGCAAGAAAAATCAGATTTTATTCTTTGAATTCATTGTTACCTGATCATGATCAAGTCTCTTTGTTTGATCATAACAGTGCTTGTGATTACTACATATGTACTCCAGCAAAGCTCAGTAGCCTTAAATGGAAGCCCGGGTCGGGAGGGCGGGTCATAGGGTCCGGAGACTACGATGGGGTTGTTATGGAGTATGATTTGGAGACAAAAGTGCCTGTTTTTGAACGTGACGAGCACGGCGGTCGCCGAGTATGGAGCATGGACTATTCGCATTGGGATCCGGTTGTAGGCGGGTCGGGTTCAGACGACGGCACGATGCAGTTATGGGACCCACGTTGCGAATCAGGGAAATGTGTGGCGGCGGTGCAGCCCAGCGTGTCCGGCAGTGCCGTGTGTTGTGTGGAGTTCAATCCATTCGGTGGAGCGTTGGTAGCCGTTGGATGTGCTGACCGAAAAGCGTACGGGTATGATGTTAGGACTTTGAGGGGCCCGGTTATGGTGCTCGATGGGCACTCGAAAACCGTGGCGTACGTCCGATATGTCGATCATCGGACGGTGATGACTTCGGGGATTGACGGACGGTTGATGATGTGGAACACAGAGGATTCGAGCCTAGTTCGGACATACCAAGGTCACGTGAATTCACGGAGGTTTGTTGGGTTATCGGTGTGGAGACACGGTGGTTTGCTTGGATGTGGGTCAGAAAACAACCAAGTTTTTGTGTATGATAAGAGGTGGGGTGAGCCCATTTGGATGCATGGGTCCGAACCAGTGGGTCGAGCTGACGGTCAGTGTGGGTTCGTGAGTGGTGTCTGTTGGAGGCAAGTGGGTGAAGATCGGTGTACACTTGCGGCCGGTGGGTCAGATGGGGTTTTGAAGATGTTTGAGGGCAAGAGATTGAGGTCATTCTCATAATTTTTAGATTACATTTTTCTTTTTCTTCTTCTTCTTTTTTTTTTAATTTTTTTTTTATTTTTTATTTTTTATTTTTAACAAATTCATTGATTGATGAATATTTGAGAATTTGTTAGTCACACAAAAAGAAGCAGAGAAATAAAGCGTTCAACGGAAGAGGAAATGTAATAAAGATTTTTGTAATTGCTACTTAAAAGCGAAAAGAAAAAAAGTTGAAAGAAACATTCTATATTGTTATTTTTGTATTGTTTATTCATAGTTGTTCGTGTAGTTACTTATCAATTCACGAAAGAAGCTTATGTCCGTCACACTCTTATTCAAGAAATTGTTACAAAATTTTTAGGGGAAAGATTTGGAAAAAATATAAGTTTGACAATTTTAATATAATTATATTGGTATACGAGCGTAGAATAATCTTCTCGTATAATTCTATTAATCAAGTTTGAACTCCTCCAAACGTCGTCGCTTCACTCCTTGAAAACATAAACATGAGTTAGCCGGCGGGTGTGTGCCAGATACCTCTCCGATGCCTAAGTCAACTAAATAGACAAATAGCTTAGTGTGTTCGAGAGTCAAAATTGTGATACATGTACGTTGGTTCTGTCATAAGCTTTTATAGTTTTCGCCTGACACAATCCTAGCAGGACTCTTATTCTTCAATGTAGAGTCCTCCTAAGAATCACACTCCTGAAGGATAATGCTTATCTCTCAACACCCTCCTCACTGCTTAAACCAAGTGAGATAGTTTTACAACGGTTGGATAATAGTATGACCAAGCTAACACTAGCCCTTTGTCATACTCAAATCTGGTGCCTTCATACGCAATACCTAGCTCGGCCTTTATTCTCTTGTACCTCGGTTTTGTCTGTTTATACCAAGCTAACTGCAGCCGTCGCTGACCGAGCTAACAAGGACGAGGTCCAACTTGCGAAGCCCAAACACCCCGACTCATATCTTGGTCCGAAATTCATCTGGCCCAACTTCATTAGTTTTTAGATCGAGCTACAACAGCTCTTATCTCGGTCCGACGTGTGGCCTAACTTCCAAAGAAGCCTTTAGCTCGGCCCAATTTACTTATAAATTACCCCCTCAATTGCCCCTTAATTCCATCTACACAACATGATATGAGATTACTTGTTTCCAACTGAGTTCAAAGTTAGCCTTCAGCCGAGCTAAAGTGTTATCGGGTTTACCAATTTGTCCGGTCAGTCCCTGCATATCTGAATCGCTTTCTATTCCCTTGGACACATGGCAGGACCCCATTGGCCAAGGATAGCTGTCACAGCCGTCTTCGTACTTTGCAAATTTTGAACAGTCCTGCCCAAATCCTTGCTTTATACCAAAAAACCTCCTTTTTGAATTAGAGACACCACTGTTCATCTTCATTTCTTGCCTTCTGAGTTTCCATCCTAGCATCTGAAAAGCTGTGTGTTTTCGTTGGCAGCCCTACAGCCCTGACCTTCGTCCTCTCATCTCAAAGCTGTAAGTGACTCAAATTCTTTCTCCTTCTTTGTTTTTACTTTTGCGAGTGTGTATAGTATAACAATATATAAACATGTTTTCTGAAACACATTCTTGTAGTTTTAACACAAATCTTCTAAACTCACACACCTAGACTTTTTAATCACATTCTATCTGGATATCACGATCAATCCGTTTATGAAATCCCTTTGATCCAGAATAGCACCATGACCGAACTAGGAACCTGTTTGTATTAGGTGTGTACTCGACCGAACTAGAAAGCTTTCCCAGTGACTGAGCTAAATCTTGAGGCCAATCCAGCTCTCCAACCTAGCCAAAACCGAACTAAGAATGGGTTGCAACCTTTTTAGCCGGACTAGGGTTTTTTGCATTTATCTTTCTTCTTTTTTAGCCCAGTCAGTGATCTGGGCATAACACTTGTTATTTCCACTTTGCAGACTTGACTAGTGCTGGCTAGGCACGCATTTGCACCCTGCGCCTAGGTAGCTCTGCTCAACCGAACCAACCAAGGCCCCAGTCAGAGTGAGCTAGGTTTAACTTATTCACAGCCTTAAAATACCGATTTTTAGTAAACTCACCCGGGGCTATTGCTGAGTTCCGCAAGGACTACAACATCCCTGATGATGTTCATCTCAGTTTAGTAGAGCTAGATACCACTTCATGGGGAAAACCAGACTTTGTTCCCTTCACCGTCATTTCTATTATAGAGGTCGGACTCTGATTCCCTGTTCAACCACTATTATGCGAATTCCTTAGGCAGACTAGAATATGCCCAACCCAACTTAGCATCAATTCTTATAGAATAATAAATGGCATCGTCGAACTAAATCACTGGCTTGGCTTTAACCTCGGTTTAGCCGAGCTATTTCACCAATACTCACTTGGCTAGAATGAAGATGGCTGGGTATATTATTTAAGAATAAGACGCCGCCGAGAGAAAATAATAAAAAATACACCGGATAAAGACCTAAATGATTATGACTTTTTCTGGGTTTCTGGTAACTTCGAGGACCAGGAAGCCCAAATGCTGGGCTACAACATAAATTAGAACAAAGGGACTGCTAGTAAGGACACCTCGGTTCTTACTTCTGTATGTTTTTTTATCCTTGCTGCTTGTAAGTTTCTTACCACGCTAACTGTTTGCCTTTTTCCTTATGCAGACTTGAACTAGCTCAAATCTCAATACCAATACCCTAATTTGGACGCTCTCCGCACCACGCTTCGATACCGCGATCAAGGTTGGGCCGAGCTACTCAATTTTGAACCGACATACAGATACAACAGTAGGAGAAAGACCAGGGTGACAGATTTCCTTCTGGAACCTTCACCAGAACCAGATCCAACTCTTCCCCAAATCAACCTTGTTCCCTTAACCGAAGAGCAAGAAATGGCAAAGCGCCGAGCTGTCCAAGCTTTGATCACTGAAACAACAGCTCAAGCCAGCAGGGATCAAACTGTGTCATCACAAACTGGCCAAACACAAGAAGCCGTGGTAGCTCACCCATCAGCCCGACCGTCATCATCTCGGCCGCATAAGCGCGCTTGTACTCCCTCAACCGAGCCACAACACCTTGTGGATGAAGATGACGTCTTGCTCCCCCAGTCCACGCAACCGAGCTTAGAGCCTCGGGTTCTGACCGGGCTAGCCTTTCTGAATGGGCCCCAAAGATAACATACAATAACCGGCCTGTTTCCAGTACTGATTCGATGGTAGCAGACAAGGACCACTCGCTCGCTTTCAATCTCGCCAAAAGCGTGTGTCTGCCCGCCGACATGGAGCACCACGATCACCTCACCGAGCTGAAGGCCATCCGTTCGGCTACTAAGTCAATGGTGCTGGTAAGTATTCCCCTAACTGTCATCCATTAATCAACAACTGTTTGCTCGGTTTCTATTCATAACTGTCACCTCTTTTGTAGGCCATGCAAAAGAACCACATTGCTCACAAGCGAGTTTTGGAGCTTCGTAAGACAACACGGCTGGCCGTGGCAGATTCCAACACCAGGACAGCCGAACTACAAGAAGTGAAGGAAAAAATGACCGTGCTCAAATCTGAAGTAACCCGACTCACCGAGTTGGTCAACTCGGCGGAGGCGGGCAAGCAAAAGGCCTTGGCCGAGTAGAAAGACCGCTATCTGCGTGAGCTGGCTAAGCTCGAGAAGAAAAAAGACGCCGAGATAGCTGAGCTGAAGAAGAAGATGGAAGACACGGAGGATCGCGGTTATAAGGAAAGAGATGCCACATACGTTTTGCAGTGTGAAGCTACAGAAGATATTTTTTTCAAGTGTGGGTGGAAGGCAGCCGCCCTAAAGCTCAGTCAAGGGGAAGAAATCGAGGTATTCCAGAACCCTCCTCCTCACTTCATCCCGAGCTATATGGCAGAATATGCCCACATCATCCAACAGAAGTTTCTGCATGAGGGAGAGGAGGAAGAGTCCCCAGAGTCAAACAACGCCCGCCTCCTGCCAGAGATCAAGGTCACCAGACTGCTCAATCAACTCGGGTGGAGCCATTGGCACCAAGCACGGTTGAAAACGTGCTTACGGCCGACCTTCTTGCTGGGAACGAGATGCCGAGTGGTGAAGCTCGGGTTGACCTTGATGCAGACTTAGACGATCTGTTTGCCTGATTTTTTCTTTTACTGCCAAGAATTTGTAACCAGGCTAAGGCCCCTTTTCTGTACTGTGATATTTGGAATGGAATGAAATGTGTTTTTTCTTGAACTCTTCGTTCGGTTATGCTCTTATTTGTAATTTATCTTCTTTTTTGTGGCTGAGATATCCATCTAGACTCAAGAGTTTTGTAATCTGTTTGGTTATACCTGCCAAGTTTCTTCAGCCTAGATCCTTATCTCGACTGAAGAGTACTTAAAGTTGGTTTTTCCAGCCAACCTCTTCAGCCTAGATCCTTATCTTGGCTAAAGAGTACTCAAAGTTGGTTATTACTGCCAACCACTCTTCAGCCTAGATCCTCATCGCGGCTGAAGAGTACTCAAAGTTGGTTTTTCCTGCCAACCTCTCTTCAGCCTAGATCCTTATCCTGGCTGAAGAGTACTCAAAGTTGGTTATCTTGCCAACCTCTCTTTAGTCTAGATCCTTATCTCAGCTAAAGAGTACTCAAAGCTGGTTATTCCTGCCAACCTCTTTTCAGCCAAGATCCTTATCCTGACTGAAGAGTACTCAAAGTTGGTTATTCCTGCCAACCTCTCTTCAGCCTAGATCCTTATCTCGGCTAAAGAGTACTCAAAGTTGGTTATTCCTACCAACCTCTCTTCAGCCTAGATCCTTACCCTGATTGAAGAGTACTCAAAGCTGGTTTTTCCTGCCAACCTCTCTTCAGCCTAGATCCTTATCTCGGCTGAAGAGTACTCAAAGTTGGTTTTTCCTGCCAACCTATCTTCAGCCTAAATCCTTATCTCGGCTAAAGGGTACTCAAAGTTGGTTATTCCTGCTAACCTTCTTCTGTTGCTCCTAGCTAATACTGTCTAAGAACAAATTTACAATGGAAAGAGAAACTACTTGTTTTACAATGGGAAGATTTATGCTGAAAGAGAAACTACTTGTTTTATTAGGGAAAGAAAAATTACAAGTATTTAAAGGAAAACTAAAAATAAAATAGTTTGAGATTGGCAGTGTTCCATGGCCTAGGTACAACCTTGTTGTCTCCATCTTCCAAGTGATATGCCCATTTTCCTACTAAACCAACCACTTTGTATGGTCCTTCCTAATTAGGCCCTAACTTGCCATCTTCGGGTACCAAAGTGTTTCCTATTACTTTGCGCAACACCCAATCTCCAATCTTGAATTGCCTCGGATGTACCGTCTTGTTATATTTTCTGGATAATTCTTGCTGGTACGAGGCAATGTGAACCTGTGCTCTTTTTCTTCTCTCTTTTGCTAGGTCAAGTTCCAAGGTTATGGCTTCTCCATTCAAGTCTGGGTCAAAATTTTCACTTCTAATGGTGAGAAGGCCTACTTCCAGTGGGATTATTGCCTCCATGCCATAGGCCAAAGAAAAAAGTGTTTTACTAGTTGACCACCGAGGTGTGGTGCGGTAAGCTCATAGAACATGAGGAAGCTCTTCAGTCCACTTGTCTTTAGCTCTTTCCAACCTTTTCTTCAAGCCATCCAAGACAACTTTGTTTGATGCTTCTGCCTGGCCATTTGCTTGATATGCTGGTGTAGAGTTGTAGAATTCTATCTTGTATTCCTCGCAGAAGCCCCTGAAGATCTTGCCGTCGAACTGAGTGCCATTATCGGATATCAGAGCCTTTGGTATGCCGAATCGGGTTATAATGTTCTGCCAGACGAACTTCTTAATATCTTTCTCCTTTATTGATGCGAATGCTTCAGCCTCTACCCACTTTGTGAAGTAATCCGTTGCTGCGAGAAAGAACTTTCTGTTGCCTGATGCTGTTGGAAGTGGTCCTACTATGTCCAAGCCCCACATCGCAAAGGGCCATGGGCTAGTTAATGGTAGAAACTCTCTGGCTGGTTGATGTATTTGGTGTGTGAACTTCTGACAATTCTTGCACTTCTTGACATACTTCTCTGAATCTGCTTGCATGTAAGGCCACCAATATCCTTGTGAAATTGCTCTGTAGGCCAACGATCTTCCCTCTTGGTGGCTTCCACATACGCCTTCGTGTATCTCGAACAAGAATGCCTCGACCTTGCTAAGATGGACACATTTCAAGTAAGGTCCTATGAAGGATTTTTTGTATAACGCCAATAATGGAGAGAGCCAAAATCGCTGCGACTTTGCTCTGATCTTGTTGGCCTCTTTCTTCTCTTTAGGTAAGATGCCGTCTTTTAAGAATACAATAATGGGATCCATCCATGAAGGGCCTAGTTCGGCACAACATACCTCTGTTACTTCGGGTTCTTCAATACTTGGTCTGGGTAAGAAGTCAATCAGCAATGGATGTGGGATAAATGTGTCTTCCATGGAGGCAAAACCTGCTAGTTCATCTGCTCTGCTGTTTTCGTCTCGACCGATCTGCTCTATTCGCACTACTTTGAACTTCATGATCTCCTTTCTGACTAACTCTTGGTACTTAACTATCCTCTCATCTTTTACCTTGTAGTCGCCTGAAATCTAGTTTACCACCAGTTAGGAGTCACTGTAAACCATTAGCTCGGTGGCCTTCATGAAGAGTACTGATTTTAGGCCTGCTAGAAGTGCTTCGTACTCTGCTTCATTGTTTGATGCTGGGAAGCTAAGGTTGACCGCTTATTCCACTATCAGGCCATTTGGTGAGATGAGAACTATGCCAAGTCTTGCACCGTGCCTATTGGATGCAACATCCACGAAGAGCTTCCATATAGCAACCCCGGTCTTTTCCCATTTGATTATTGTATCCGGACTTAGGTTCCGTAGGTTCTGTCATTATATAATTATTGTTGTTGTCCCATATTTTCTTATTTGAAGTTATTGGATGTGTTGGGCAGGTTTGTTTCAGGTTAGTTGGGTTTAGAAACCAAGTGTTGCTGTCCAGAATTTTGGATCTTCGCTCGAGCGAGGAGTTGGTCGCTCGAGCGAGCTGTTGTTTTTGGTTCTTCGCTCGAGCCGGGGTTTGGTCGCTCGAGCGAGAGTGTGCGTCTGGTTTGGACCTGTAGCTTTGCATTCTTGGCTCGAGCGAGCTTTTTTTCGCTCGAGCGAGTTAGTTCGTTCTTCGCTCGAGCAATAGTTCCTTCGCTCGAGCGTGAGTCTGGTTACAGACCCGAGGGTTTGAGTTCTTCGCTTGATCGAGTTTTCTTTCGCTCGAGCGAGCTTTCGGGTTGTTGGCTCGAGCAAGGCTTCCTTGGCTCGAGCGTAGCTTCTCTGTGTCTGGTCGCTCGAGCGACCAAGTCTTCGCTCGAGCGAGCCTATCCAGTTTATATGCGTAGCAGCGGGTTTTTAATCAGTTTTTATCATCTTTTTAGATTCCAAACCCTAAGGTCCGACTTCTCTCTCTCCCTACTCATCTTCTCTCTTAGGTTTGATCTGTTTAGAGTGTGCTTCTACCCTAGTTGCTTTATTAAAAAGATAGGGTGGGTCGAGGGCTTCCATCTAATCTGAATTGTTGGTAGTTTGGAGCACTTTGGAGTTTTGGTCTTCATCTCCATCTTCTCTTTTGGAGCTATTTCTTCGAGGTAGGGATTTCCTACTCCATTTTATAGGTTTTGTTCTAAGTTTTGGCATTTTGATATGTTGGGGATACTTTGGTGATTTTGGAAAAACCCTAGTTGTATTAATAAATTAATTTGTATAATTAATTCATGGAATTGGGAAAATATGGTTAAACTCATGGAATTGGGGAATTTATTGATTAAATGGCGTAGTTGGTTAATTTAAATCACTCGTCTATTGAATTGTTGGTATATTTATTTCCAAGTCTAGAAATAATTGTTTTGGGCTATCGGTGGAGGATAGTCGTGCTTGTTGTAGACACTGCATGTGGATTAGGGATAACTGAAACTAATCATTGATTAAGTCATCAACTTTGACTGCTGAATTAATACAGACATTATGTGTATTGATTGTGTGTTGTATATGTTATGTGTTTGCATACATTGTTTTGTGTGGGAGGAGATAGGGGATGTACTCCACGGTTTAGGGGAAGATAGGGGATGGATACATTTAAACTTGGTTTTGAACTTGGAGCTCGAATATGGAATTTCCAGATTTTGGACTCCCGCTCGAGCGGGGAAAGTTGCGCGCGAGCGGGGAATTTGAGCATCCAGTACTTTGTACTGTTTTACAGTCCGCTCGAGCGGAGGATTGGACGCTCGAGTGGAGGATTGTGTCTCACGCTCGAGCGGACGTTGAGCGGGCGTCGAGCGGAGATTTGACCTATCCAGTACTTTTACAGTACGCTCGAGCGGGTAAGTTGCCGCTCGAGCGGGGACCTTTGTTGCATGTACGCTCGAGGCAATTAGGGATTAAATTATTATCTTTCCCAACTGTATAGCTTAGTGTGTGTGTTCGTTCTGTAAACTGTGTAGGGTTGGCGACCGGAGATATGCTCTAGCTGTACTGTAGCCCATAACTCTGTGAGTAACAATTGTGTAAAGATATGTTCAAAATGACTATCTTCTGAACAACTGAATTGTACTGTTTTCTGAACTGTTCACTGTTAACTGAATGAATGTTTGTCCTCTATTCTGAACTGTATTGTGGCATCCTTAGCAACTACTGTTACTGTCCAGGAGAGTAATTCTCTCTGTTGCTCCTAGCTATATACTGTCTAAGAACAAATTTACAATGGAAAGAGAAAACTACTTGTTTTACAATGGGAAGATTTATGCTGAAAGAGAAACTACTTGTTTTATTAGGGAAAGAAAAATTACAAGTATTTAAAGGAAAACTAAAAATAAAATAGTTTGAGATTGGCAGTGTTCCATGGCCTAGGTACAACCTTGTTGTCTCCATCTTCCAAGTGATATGCCCATTTTCCTACTAACAACCACTTTGTATGGTCCTTCCTAATTAGCCCTAACTTGCCATCTTCGGGTACCAAAGTGTTTCCTATTACTTTGCGCAACACCCAATCTCCAATCTTGAATTGCCTCGGATGTACCGTCTTGTTATATTTTCTGGATAATTCTTGCTGGTACGAGGCAATGTGAACCTGTGCTCTTTTCTTCTCTCTTTTGCTAGGTCAAGTTCCAAGGTTATGGCTTCTCCATTCAAGTCTGGGTCAAAATTTTCACTTCTAATGGTGGAAAGGCCTACTTCCAGT